AGAGAGAGAGAGAGAGAGAGAGAGAGTGAGTAAAAGAATGGGTAAACATAACAAATACCTAAAAACAGAATCACATAAATAAGTAACATATTCAAATTTGAACTAATTCATTCAACACAACACTTCAAACTGGTCCTCAACAATCCAAGGGCTAGAAAACATATTTAAAAATAGCACATGATAAACAAGAATACAGAATGAGAATCTTCCTTCACTCACAGCCTTCCATCTCTCCTTAGAGGCGTAGTGTTCGATGATAAAGCCGTAGATGTCGCCCACTCGTACGGCCGTGTCTACGTCTCGCTCCTCTAGGAGTACCTGGCACTGCTTGATGGCTTCCTCCGCGTTCTCCTGGTACATACTGGAAGGGAAGGGGGGGGGGGGGGGGGGGGGGGGGGGGAGATAAGGTAAGATGAGATGGTAGAATTTTGCTATGATATAAGAAACAGCTCCCACAGAACAAAAACACTTCCCTCCCCTCCCTGGACCAAGCCCTCCCTTCCTCTCCCTGGAGTATGCATGCGAGCGATGACCTACGGTCTATCCATGATAAGTTACCCTTGATGCCAGCCATCCATTGAGTGTCTGATGATCCCCCCCAATCCTTCTCCACTGTCCACCTGCCTTGCTCTTAATTTTCATATCCCCCCCCCCCACTCCCTCCTTTCCTCCCTTTCTCCCCCCATATGATGTACTATATTGCCATAACAAATCGTTTAATGAGTGCTATCTTTAGACTGATATTCCCCATCCCCCCTTCAATGACATACCGTCTGGCCATGACAAAACGTTTGATGAGCGCCATCTTGTGTTTGATGTTGCCCACTTTCTCCTCCTGCAGCATCGAGTCGTCCATCTTGGCCTTCGACATACACTTGTAGGCTTCACCGAGGGCGCCCAGGGCCTTGTCATAGTTCTGGTACTCATCTATCTCCACCTGGTGTCACAAACAGAGTACATGAGAGAGGGAGGAGGAGGGGGAGGAGGAGAGAGAGAGAGAAAGAGAGAGAGAGAGAGAGGGGGAGAGAGAGAAAGAGAGAGAGTGGGAGAGAAAGGGAGACATACACTTGTAGGGTTCACCGAGAGCACCCAGAGCCTTGTCATAGTTCTGGTACTCATCTATCTCCACCTGGTGTCACAAACAGAGTACATGAGAGAGGGAGGAGGAGGGGGAGGAGGAGAGAGAGAGAGAAAGAGAGAGAGAGAGAGAGGGGGAGAGAGAGAAAGAGAGAGAGTGGGAGAGAAAGGGAGACATACACTTGTAGGGTTCACCGAGAGCACCCAGAGCCTTGTCATAGTTCTGGTACTCATCTATCTCCACCTGGTGTCACAAACAACAAAACATCCCAACATCTAAAGTACTGTACTGACACAAAGACACAGTCTCAACACACACACACACACACACACACACACACACACACACACACACACACACATACACAAACACACACACACACAAACATATAACGGGCCGGCAGTAGTTGCTAAACCAAAACAGAAACTCAGAGAGCAGGTAATATCATTTTTAAAAAACAACCATAACCACAAGCCATCTCGACGTCACCAAAATTTAGATTCACCTGAGCGCAAGCATCGTAGAAAGACGCCAGCGCATCCAGTGCTCTCCCCTTGGTGTAGAAGCCGATGATGTTCTTCATGATGTCGGGATCTTTGCGCCAGTCCATAGACTGTAGGTAGTTAGCGGCCATGACGTAGATTTCCTTCTGGCGCGAGACGCCCGCGAAAAACACGATCTTTTCCGTATCCCCAGATTTAAGCAAAGCCTTCATTGCCTGGAGAAACAAGAGGGGTCAAAAAATTTTTTTAGCAAGCGTGTTACTGCACTTTTGACACAATTCGGTCATATAAGCGTAGAAGATTAGAGATGTTACAAGTGAGTAATAAACACCAAAAAAAAATAAGGATGAGAGATAAAACTACCAGTTGAAATTTTTTTCAGATGTGAAAAATGCATAATTTGACTGGCAGTGTCCAAGGAACCCACCACCTAAAATATCTAAATTGTGTAATTGTGGGCATTAAACACCTACAATTACAATTTAATTAATAACTGACACCCCCCCTCCCCCAGTGACCCCAAACACTAAATCACCCACCCTCCACCCCCCAATGATCCTTATGGCCACCTATAACCCTTGTGACCCCCCCGACCCTATGGCCCCTGCGACTGACCTTGATCTTGTTCCCGGCCTGTGTGAACTTCTTGGTGGCCAGGTGGTAGGCTCCCTGGTGCATGCACACCTCGGCGATGGCCTCCAGGATCTTGAGGCGGGCCATGGGGTCAGGGTCAAACTCTTTGTCCGGGGTCAGCTTCTCCGCCAGGTCCTCTGTGATCTCCACTGTCTGGTCCATGCAGATCTTGACCGCCTCCCAGAACTGGGGAAACAAACACATGAGGGTTGAGTTATGAAGTAATAACAAAATAAAGGCAGTGTCTTGGACATTTGGCTAGATATAAAGACTGTGAACATCTAGCTTTCACTGGTAAAATTAAAGGCAAATGAGGTAGGGGTAGATCCTGAGAAACTTACTTGGAGAGCTTAAACAGATGGGGGATAGGTATCTCTTAGTTTTGTGCGATTGTGTGAGCATGTGTGTTTGAGTGTGTCTGTGTGTGTGTTTGTGTGAGTGTGAATATGGGAATGTATATAAGCGTGTATATATGTGTGTAGATATGAGTGTGTATGCGTATATGTGTGCGAGTGTCAAAGAACACAACCACTTTCCACCCCCCCCACACAACTCACCTTCTTCCCAATAGCCAACAGATCCACAGCCTTGTCGTACTGCCCGTTCTCCAGGAAGAAATCTGCACAGCGCTGCAGCAGCTCTGGGTCGGCTCTCTCGTCAAGGTCGCTAGAGATGAGTTGTAGAGCTCCGAACTGTTTGGTGGTGAAGGCAAGCTCCAGGGCCTTAGAGTAGTTGCCAGCCTGTACACAAGAACAAGGAGAAGGACGGTGATGATGATGATGATGATGATGATGATGATGAGGATGATGATGATGATTATGATGATGATGAAGATGATGATGATATGTGTCACGGCGCGGTGGAATCAGGTTCTCAAGGATTTTTAGGCATAGGGAGCTATTGGTAATGTTTTAAAGCTTAATAATTTGCCTTGCTTTTGATGAAAAAAATGCCCATCTACCTTGAATAGAAGTTGAGATATTGGCCATTAAAGAATTTGGGGAGGTGTCCAGTGCCAGAGATAAAATTTACGAGAAAATGGCCATCACAGTTTGGCCACTTCCAAAGTTTGAGAGTGCCCTTGGAAATTGCAAATTTATATTTTTTGTGTATGTGATCAACATTTTTCATTAAAATCCACAAAAAATTATTTTCTAAAATGGATATAAAAGGTGTTGTGACCCAAACCCCCCCCCCCAAAACATACAAAAATTGTCAGATAGGTGGATAGGTGGAAAATGTTGCTTTTTTCAATTTCATTACTTTGACAAGCGGCTAATTTTCCTGTGATGCCAAACAATAATAATAATAATGGTTATACTAATAATCAGAATTATATTAGAATAAGTAATAACGCTAAATAATACAAATAAAACATACTAATATCAATATAGACAATAATCAGTAATAATGATAATGATTATTATAATAATAGTATTATCAATAATAAAAATAAAAATTGAAAATAAAAATTGCAGTAACATAGTAATAACAAGTTTGAAGGAAAGAGAGGTAGAGGCAGACAGAGAGAAAAGATACTGGAAGAGATGACAACATGGCTAGAAGTAGCAAGAACAACAGAAACCATTGCTGCAACACGGGACAGATGGAAGTGGAGGTCCATGATCGTCCACACCAGTCGGCAAGGCACCGGATGATGAAGATGAGTAATAACAATGTAATAACAATAACAATAGAGACAACAAGAGAAAACTTTGTTGACCTTATGGTAGAGCATGACAGCCTTATCCTGGAAACCTTGTCGCGTCTCGTAGTACCGCGCGGCTTCCATCATGTCCTCGGGGCGACCCATCAGGGCAGAGTTCAGCAGCTGGTCCTCAAAGCCATGCTCCTGGAAAACACAAACATTTCCGGTTGTTTTTTTTTGTTTTTTTCGGATGTAGGTGTTTTGAACGTTCTGAATGTTTACAATATCATTGCTTTACTTTTATCCGTCACTTATACCCTTTTGAGTGTCGTGGTACAATATCCTTGCAAATTTCAAATGTTGTCTGACAAGACAATAGGGATAAAATATCAAATTACATATTTTGAGTCATCATACATAAATTATAGTAGCACCTACTCTAACAGTCACCTGTCCAAGACAATCACCTGTATAAACAGCCATCTCCTACTTCCTAATGGAATCAAATATTGCTTGGAACTGTCAGCATCTACACAATTCGAGATGTGCTTCTTCAGGGGAAGGAGCGCTTATGAGGATGCTCCTTGTGCAGTGATGTCGGTCCTTCACACAAGAAACAAGTAACACAAGTTCCTACTTCCTTCTCCCTTGGGGATTTAAAAGATATGATGACATTGTCCAAGACCTATCAGTAGCAACCAATTTTCTCCTCATCAATGGGTGGCCTTCTGGAGCAATTTTGACTTACTTTTACAACCTGCACACACGTATAACATGGTTGCCTTTTCTTACATAGCCATATGACACACATACACATAGCATAACTAACTTATGATAGATAGCCGTATGGCAAACACAAATAGCATGACTGCCTTATTATAAAAGCAGTATGGAACACACATACTGTTTCAGCAACTTACCTTACAGAGTTGTATAGCACACGTATCACATGAGTGACTTACCATACAGAGTTGTATGACACTCCTGTAGGCCTGAGTCTTACATTACTGAAGTGTATGGCAAGCATATAGCATGAGTGACTCACCTTACACAGCCGTATGGCACTGCCGTATGCGTGGGCCCGCTGGAAGAAATGTACGGCCTCTTTGATCTGGTCCTGGTTCTCGTACTGACGCGCCAGGTAGTAGCAGGCTGCGCGGTCACCAGTCTCGTTACAGATCTCTGCTGCCTGGAGAGGGAAGGAAGGGTTATTTGTATTTGTATTTTGGAAAATGTTTTACGGCCATCACAACTGCATAATTCGATGCTAGAGGTTGTGATATAGGAGATGGGCAAGACATGTTGGTGCCCTGCTGTTGCTGCTGTTGTGGCTGCTGCTGCTACTGATGATGATGATGATGATGATGATGATGATGATGATGATGATTAGGATGATTTAAAAAAAAACACAAAAAAACCCCAACTCCAAGTCCCCACAAACTGGGTTTTTAAAAAATCATACTATAAAACAACAACAATGATGATGATGACATAATGATATAAAGAAGTAAAATATGAGGAAAAAATAAAAACAAACAAACAACAGACAAGACTATTTTTACAGATAGACAAAAAAAGGAACACTTGTTATGATCAATGTATTGAGATAACCTTTCGAATGACAAGTATCCGAGCACCCGCCAACCACCCACACAAAAACACACATAAAAAACCAAGCCCTTCCCTCACCTTGTCCATGTCTCCGCAGTAACAGTAGACCCTGACCAGAGAGAAAAAGTCCTGTGCCGTCTCGTAGTACTTGATGGCTGTGTCCATGTCGCCCGTGCTCTCCATGTACTGGGCCCACCAACGACGCAACGTCCTGGACCGGGCGGGAAAACATTCGAGGCAAAAAAGTCACTTTTTTTTTTTTTTTCAAAAGTTTTTTTTAGAAAGATTTTTACGGCACTTGCAACACAATAAGGTCATATAAGTGCTGAAGATTAGGGGTGTTACAAGAGAGTAACAAACACAAAAAAGAAGGAGGAGAGATCAGGACGACAGATGTCTGATAGGAAAGAAGGAGCAAACCACACCAGAGCACCCGCCAACTACCCACTTTTTCAAAAGTCAGTTGAGTAAATGAACTTTTGGTGAAATGAGAAAAACTTGCCCTAACAACAAGATAAGATAAGATAGATAAGATAAGATAATACTTTACTAGCCCAGAAGGAAATTTTTCTGGGATAATAAAGTATTATCTTATCTTATTGTTAGGGTAAGTTTTTCAATACACAGAAACACACAGATTTGCACATATACGTAGTTTCACCTGGCAGACATTTTCAGCAGTAAAAAAATAAAAAAGTGGGCTGAAGCAACAGCTTTCTATGAAAAGGAAACAGCAGGTATCGAGTTTGGGCAAAATGCTGACAACTCTAACTGGAGAGACTACTTGCACCATTGTGTTTATTCTGTGAGTATGTGTGACTAGAAGAACAACTTGTTTGATTTTTGTTGTTGTCTAATTGAAATTATTTTTACTTTGTTAGACATAATCTAGATGAAAATATTTGTTGTACTGAATCATATTGCATAGATTTTTCATTGCCTGCCTCAAGTCAAAAGTAGGAAGTTATTCAGAATTATCAATTACTCTCTCTCCCTTTCTCTCTCTTTCACAAACGCGCGTGAACACACACACACACACACACACACACATAGACAAGCTGACAAATAGACTCAATTGTACTTGCTCTTGCTGACATATTTCTCCATCTGGTCTCTTTCTCTCTATCTCTTTCTCACAGACTGACAAACAGACAGACAGACACACAACAAATCGACTCACTTGTCCTTGCTTTTGCTCACATATTCCTCCAACTGGTCGGGATCGTCAGCCAACATCCTGGGCACCTCAAACTTGTGTGTCTCTGACTTCTCAAAGCTGGGGACCACACAGCAATAGAAAATACTTCAACAACAATCGTCTACGTATAGTTCAGTAACAACCTATCTATAGCTCAGTGACAGGCTATTTATAACTGGAAGGTCAGGGCCGAACAGTCAGCCACATTATGTCCCTTAGAAAGGATAACGATACTTGTAAATTATGATTGTATGTCATGTTTTGATGTTGTGTAATCATAAACAAGCCACGAATTTTTTCTAACAAAAAAAAAATATATAAAACGCCATTAAATCTCAACTCGAATATCAAATTCCAGGTAATGGCCATACCTACAACCATAAAGAAACAACCACTGCAGACTTGACGATAAAATACAAAAAAACCAACTAAGTAACAGTAACCATTAATTTGAACAGTATATGGTCGCTTTTAAGGACAAAGGGGGCTATCCCGAAAAATGCTGTCTTGAAAAAATCGAAGGTAAAGTTTTTGCCCCTTGTTCAGTTTCTTTAAAAGACAAGGAGAGTTTTCTCTACAACCAAACAAATATACACTCCAATGAAACCAAACTTCTCCTATAGGTAGGGCAGTGTCCACTTTTGGTATTGGTTAAGATTTTTGGAAACCCCTGAAATCTGGGTTATCCCGCTTGTCCTTAAAAGCGAACATACGCCTTTTATTTTCCAGCTATTTCCCCACATGAAACGAGCCACGCACTTCCTCACTGACATCATGTGTGTGATAAAATGAGAATACGTAGTTCTAGATGCTCGATAAAAGATATTGTAGAAGTTGGAGAAACTTAGAATCAACGATTTATGAAGGAGAACTCTGGATCGATATCAATGACATAACAACAAGAAGGAGAACTACATAATCGTCTCTCTCTTCCTCTCTCTATCTATCTCCGTCTCTCACTTGGGTATGGCTGCCTGCGTGTCTCCGAGATCCTCCAGGTGCCGGGCGTGGTTGTAGAACGTCGTACGTAGGTGGATACGGTCGTACATCTCTGCTGTCTCCAGGGCCTGGGGGAAGTGGAGGGGAGGGAGGAGAGATGGGGAGGGGAGGGAGGAGAGC